AAAGTACAGGAAAATGACAGGCAGAGGCTGTCATCTTGAGATTTTACAGACTAGTGAAGTGCACCAAAAAGCAAGATACAGTCTCCTCTTGATTCACGTGACAACCACATTCCTGGATAATTCAGGGTATGCTAAAACTAGGAGAAATCTTATTTATCTTAATAAAAAAGATTTTGAGCTTAATTATAATCCTAGGAGTTGCAGGACATGTGTTAGTAATGTCGAACTACCCCACATATCACTAAGTGATGGACACTCTCTCTCCACATCCCTAAATATTAGGGCATCTTGCACTCTTAACATGAGGCAACTTACACCCCTTCGCACCCCAGCCCCACCCCGTACCTGTAGATTTCCAAAATGTCCCCTAGGGGGCAGTAGTGCCTTTGTAAAGAACAAAGCCCTGTACTAAGACCAGGTACAAGAACTTCCTCTATCTGTGCATGCACACTGCGTGTGTGCGTGCGTGCGTGTGTCTGTCTGTCTGTCTGTCTGTGTCTGTGTCTGTGTCTGTCTGTCTGTGTGTGTGTCTGCTTGCTGTCCATGAGGCTGTGTTTTCAGATGCCTGTGAGTGTGTAGGTCTGTGCACAAGGGTGTCCAGGCACAGGCAGATATGCTCTGTGCACACACATGACTGAGCCTAACCTACGGCTGCCAGACTTTGCTTAGGAGCACCTGACCTCATTTATGCAACCTCTTCAAGCTTTCCCAGCAACACCGGGGCTTTGTTTGCTTGCCGTATTGTTTTTGAGGCTGTTTTTTTTTTTTTTTTTTGAGGGGGGGGGGTGGTTTTAGATTTAACGTTTGTTTTTACTGAGACCCTGAGCTACACAGTAGTATATCAGTTTTAGTATGTCTCCCTCCCTACATGTTTGTGTGCTTTGTCTCTTTGTCTACCTGTTTCTCAATGCCCTCTTATCTCTCCCTAGTGTTCTAGATCATGGTTCCTTAGATTTTTTTCTATTTATGACCCTTTTTCACCTAAGAAATTTCTCATGCACCCCCAGGTATATAGTTATATAAAATAAGTATACAGATCAAACATTTACTATTAATTAACAAATTCTCAGGCATGTCTATAATTTTAATTTCATTAAAGACAAAGGTAAATTTGTATACTGAGATAGATGTGATTTTTTTTACATAAAGAATTAAATCTTTTCTGAATATTTGATACTGCAACATATAAGGCATCTTCAATGTTTTTAAGAGTTGACTGGTATTTTGATTTTTATAACTGTCAATACTGAGAACCCCATTTCACATAAACATGCAATACAAAATGGTGAAAGTATGGTTCAGACCTTCCAAAAATTGTTGGAAATTCTGTCCTATTCCCAAGCCAAAATTCATCTAATGGTTTTTTATGACACTCAAATCAGCAACTCAAATGGCAATTTTTAATTTTTTATTGGGGGGAGGTTGAGATAGGATCTATGTAGCTCTAGCTGCCCTGGAACTTTCTTTTTTTTTTCTCAGAGCTGAGGACTGAACCCAGGGCCTTGCACTTGCTAGGCAAGCGCTCTACCACTGAGCTAAATCCCCAACCCTGCCCTGGAACTTTCTACATAGACCAAGCTGGCCTCGAACTCACAAAGATCCACCTGAAATGATAATCTTTTAAAATCAAACATTCTAATACAATATAATATAATGGCATGCTAACTTGATACTTCCATGACAGTAGGAAAGTACTAAAGTGTTATTTTCTGTCCTTAAACCATTATGTTTTATAAAAAAAAAAAATTGTAGGTACAACAAAAACATTGCAATTCCTCACATACAGGAGTGTCAAGTCTGAGCTGAGGCATTTCAAATAGCATGTGTTGTCTTTGGATTGTATGGTGGCATGTGCAATGCAAAGTATGCACGTTGTATGCTCGGAAGCCTGGCTTCCATTATGTATGTATGTATGTATGTATGTATGATGCAACACAAGCAAGTGCTGCCAGAAACCCGTGAGGTTCATCATGCCAATGTTGGGTTAATTTGGGGTTATTACACATCCAGAAATTTTGTAAAATTTCTCGATACCCTCGCATTCAGTTATGCAGCCCCATAGGGAGTTACAACCCATAGTTTAAGGAGCTGTGTTCTAGATGTGTCGTCCCCTCCCCGCCCGCTTCCGTTATCCTTAACCACCGTTTCTGTCTCCTCTCTCCATCATTTGCTCTTTCTCTGTGTTATCTATATGTCTCTTTGAAGTCATTCTTCTTCCCCTCTCTTTCTCCATGTCTGTCTCTTCCCTTGTCCTTTTTTTCTGGTTTTCGGGCTTTCCTTATCCTATGTCACCATCTGCCTGCCACAAACATGCCTCTCTTGTCACCCCCTGTGTATCTGACTACCTCTTATACTTAGTCTGTCTCTATGCCACACCTTTACCCCTTGTCTTCCCTTAAAGCTAAGGCATATTTGTGTGTGTGTGCACCTTTGCACGTACACAGCAGAGGGCTGTCTGCATGGAAAGGGTAGGAAACGTCAGACCTGACCATGTGCATTTCTCTCCAACCCCCCTGCCCTAGCACCCTCTCATTTCAGTAGGCCATTGGCTCTGAGACTTCTGAGTGCTGTCAAAAAAGAAATCACTGCTTTTAGGCGACAGAGCAGACTGTACTGAGCTAGAAAACAACACAAAGGGGACAACTTCACTAGGAAGGAGCTGGTAAGAAGGCATCCACTTAGAGACTCACCTCCCCAGACTGTTCCCCGGGCCAGCCCCAGCTCCAACTGTAATCCAGAGCCTCTCCTGCTTCAACTTCATATGGCCTGGCCCAGCTCCCCTCCCTCTGGGAAATGCTGTCACTTTGTCATGACCCCACAATTGCCTGCCTGCACACAACAAGCACTCCCCTGCTCCCCAGGCTGTGCTTTCAGCAACTCCGGTGTGAATACTTGCATGGAGCCCTTGGCATCTTTTCACCAGGAACCTACTGTGTGTGTGATGCTGATCTTTTAGAGGGGAGGGAGCCTACCCTGCCCTTAAGCGGCTTCTGTTCTAATAGGACAAGACAGGTAATGATCTAAATTTGAAGACTAAATGATATAGATAGGAGAGAGAGATTCTGGTGGCAGGGAAAGGGGAATGGGGATGCTACGACCTCTTACCTTGATTACTACTGAAGCCTCACTAACCTCCCTACCCTACTCCCTCCTACCTTTATGGAACATGCCCTGTTCTCATAGCAACAAGTAGAATTGTATTCAACCCTGAATGCCAATCACATCTTACCTCTGTTCAAAACCCTCCCAAGCAATTCTGAATCAAAGCCCTCACTATGGCCTCCACGATACATTCTTGCCGACGCTCTAACTGACTTCACCTCCCATCTCGTGCCCTTTGCTCAATGTTCCACCCACTATGGCTCCCTTGCTCTTTCTCGGTGTGCCATGAGCAGCTCCGTCTCAGAGCCTTTGTTCTGACTATTCTTTCTGCCTAGAGTTCTCCTAAACAGCCACACGACTTACATCCTCACCTGTTTGCTGAGATGACTCCTCCTTTATGAAGCCCTCCCTATCCTGCTCATCAAAAACTGCATTACCCTCCTCTCCTCTGACACTTTAAATCCTCCTCCTCTACTTTAGATTATATTTTAGAATATTGTCATCATCTGAGATACTAACTTCACCCATGTCTCTTCTTATTACCAAATTTGTCAATTACACAAAACTAGGAAGCTTTATTTTCGTTTTTGGTTTGTTTGTTTGTTTGTTCATTTGTTGAGAGATGGTTTCTCTGTGTAGCTCTGGCTGTCCTGGAACTCATTCTGTAGACCAGGCTGACCTCAAACTCACAGAGATCCACTTGCTTCTGCCTCCCAAGTGCTAGAGTAGGAATCTTTTATCTGTCTGATTCACAACTTCATCCTCAATGCCTAAAACAGTGAATGACCTAAAGTAAAGAAATACTTTTCCAATGAACTAACACAACAAGCATACTTACATTTTTATATTCATATATAATCCTACACTCACACAAAATAAAAGCCAGAGGCTTTATCATAATCCACAGCCCTACAACATCTGGTCTTCTGTGACTTCATCTCCTAACACTGTATCTCTGAAACGCACCATTTAACAACATTAGTCTTCTCACTGCTCGGAGAGCATGCTACGCACATTCCTGACCACAAATAAAGATATTTTGCTGAGCACGGTGGCATAGAGCTATAATCCTAGCACATGGGAGTCCGAGGCAGAATAATCCCAAGTTCAAGGCCTGCCTGAGCTGGGGAAAGTGTTCATAGCCAGCCTGGTCAACTTCACAAGACCTCGTTACAAAATTCAAAGTTTAAATAGTAAAATTTTTTTCAGGGTTTAGGGATATAGCTCATTGGTAGACCTCTTGCCTGCCAGGCCTGAGGCTGTAAATTCAATCCCCAGTACATTGAAAAGAAAAGACAGAGAGAAGAAGAAACAAAGTAAGGAGGGGAGCGGGGGGAATGGGAGAGAGCCAAAGACAGAAAGAAATCTAGTGAGTGGCTGTCAATAGTTTAACAAAAAACATGAACTACAACAGAAATGTATATTACAATTAGGATTAGTACTGTGTAAAACTTTTAGTTGAGGGGTGTGTGTGTGTGTGTGTGTGTGTGTGTGTGTGTGTGTGTGTAATGGATTATGGGTAGCGGTGAAAAAACAATGCTTGAGTACAACTTTAAGGCTTATAAATAGGACTGACATCTACAACCCTGCGGACCCACCAGTGGAGAATGAGGTATCTGAGGCCATTAGGAGACAAAGCAAGGAGGGGTAGGAGCAGGACTATCTGGGAAGGACTCACAGACACACTAACCTGCCCTCTCTGTTTCTTCCTCATCTGTTTCTCCCTCCACCCATCATGTTCCATTCCTTCCATTTCTGTGTTGTTTTCTATCCACTTATATCCTTGTCTCCATTTTTCAATCTCATTATTTACTGCTCTGTCTCTGCATTTTTTCTGTCCCCTACCTCCATCTCTCTGTCTCTCCATCTCTGTCTCCCTCCATTGTCTCCATTTGCAG